CCCCCCCACACACCTCTCTCTCTCTCTCTCTCTCTCTCTCTCTCTCTCTCTCTCTCTCTCTCTCTCTCTCTCTCTCTCTTGCACTCACACACACACACACACACACACACATTTAACCTTTTTTTGAGAAGAAATAGTAAGTAATTGACTATTTAAAAAAAAAAAGATAATAATATTTAAAATTATTTTTAAAAAAATATATATATCGTCAAAGTAAAAAAATAAAAAATAAAATAAATTATAAAAATATATAATTAATGAATTTAAAATGAAATTAAAAATTAAAAATTATTATTATGATTATTAAAATTTAATTAAAAAATAAAATTAAAAATAGCTTACTAGTTTAGATCAACAGCAAATTTATATTATAAATTTAAAATTAGAATAAATACCAACATGGACACACCTTGAGAACTTGTCTTGTCCTAACATCCTTTAGACGAAACGGTCACCGACAAACCTATATGGTACGACTACCAGAACTAAAATCCTATTGACTACATACACCGATACTCGCAGATGAGTTATGGGAGTACCTTGTCGCATAATAGAAGGCGTACACATTATAATAAAGCAAGAAATGTATGCACTTTGTTAAAACCCAAAACCCACACACTCTCCAAGTGTACTCTGCACGGTCGAAACGCAGGTAAGCTATTACAGACACTGCCTGCGCACCACTCACGGGTCAGTCCACAGTTGTTGTATGTTGGGTCCGGGCTATGAGAGCATTGAGAGGTTTTCCCGAGGTTCTTCGTTCGTGGGTTGTTCAGTTGATAATTTGTGCATTTGTCTTTCGGTCCATGATAGCATACATTGCTGCAGTAGCTCTTTATTTTTATTTTTTTTTTTTTTTTTTTAAACTGGGCTCCATCTATTGGTGGGCAGCAGGAGCATCACTTGCTGGAAAACGGGTCCAGCGTCCCTTATACAGAATGATACAGAAAACAGTCAGGAAGAACCAGAAATCCAGAAAAAAGACCAGGGCCTGCCAGCATTGATTACTCCCGGTTCAGAGGATTAACTGAGCAGGTTGTTAAAGAGTACCGCTGATGTCAACCTACTCCCTCCAGCTGTACTCGCCCACCCAATCTACCCTTTCTTTATGAATGACAACACTAGTATTGAGAAAAGGCAATCTCCAAACACTGTTGGCAGTGTTGGCCATGTATAGCATTCATGTCCTTGGAGACCCGAGGGAACCACTGGGGGCACCAGTGGGTCCTCTCGTCCCTCCCTCCTTTGAACCAGGCTTTCGCCGGATGAGCTCAGCGTTCCTCCTGATAGCGAAAAATTTGTGGGTATGAAGAAAAAGCCTGAGAAACACCATTGAGAACTACTGGGAACATGATACCACCCTCTGGATATACCATTTTTCACCAGAGCCTCTCCTCCAGAGCCAGCGGGTGTGGTGGGAAAGAATCTGAGAATTCGTCTGCGGGTTGCAGGGGGATGCTGGGGTCCACTTCTGTCCAGTCTTTGAAGGAGAGGCGATAGTCTCGGGGGACTTCGGCTCGTGTGCCCACCTCTCTCCATTGGCCTTCACCCACTCTTCTCTCCTGACCAGTATACCCTTCCTACCCATCCCTCCCTCCTCCCCTCTAGCTAGTCTTCAGCAAACTGAGTAATCTTGTCCGATATGTCCTTCCCTGTGTGGAGGGTGTCTAGTGTTCTTTTGGTCTCCCACC